TTCTGCTCCACCTTCCTCCTGTAGGTGTCCTTTGCTTCCCTCAGGCAGCGTTTCACCTCCTGCTGTGCTGCTTTCATCTCCTCCTGAAAGCCTTCTTCCTCATGTTGAGGACAGCTTTGACTTCCTGTGTTACCCACGGTTTGTTATTAGGATAACACCGTACCGTCTTAGCAGGGGCGACCGCGTCCACACAAAAGTTGAGGTAGTCCGTCAGACGGTGTGTCGCCCCCTCTATGCCCTCACCCTGTGGGCTCAGGAGCACATCCCAGTCTGTGGGGTCATAGCAGTCTCTCAGTACTAGCTGGATGATTATTCGTGGTGATGTTGCAGTACGTAGTTTCAGGAAGGTGCAGTTCTGAGAGCCCTGCTGCAGTTACCAGTCCTTTGTGATTGCACTTTCTTTTGTTCCTGTGAAAGTTATCTGATATCTTTGCCATCAGCCTGTCAGTTCTGCCTGCCTGTATTCTCACTACCAGCCGTTGCTGCCATTTATTGTCCACAATGAGTTTAAAGTCTGTGTCATAAAAGCACTTTTTATGTGTCGAGCTGTGGATGATCATTTGCTGGAGAATTACTGCAAGAACGTTTATTTTTATGAATAACCTTGTTGTTTACCTGAGTGAAACCAAAGGGCTCAACAAAGCAGGGTTGAAAGCAGCAATTAAAAGTGTGAGCTACAACAGCGGAGCAGCCTCACTCTTGAGCTCAGATTCAATCCTCCACAGCTGTGTGAACATTTTGGGTTTATTGTGAGCTAAAACTTTTTTATGTTTGCACATCAAAACAACACGCTGTCTTGTTCTTAGGAGAGATTTTAAAATTCAAAACGAGCTTGATTAGAATCTCGATGCATGCTCGATCGTGCAGGTAAGGAAATCCCCAGAAACTCTACAGTCTACAGTAGACTTGAAGGTTCGATTACATGAGCAAAAATGACCCCAGCCCTGATGCCAGCAACTCTGCGTTATGCACAGGACACTGTGACTGTTTTTTCTGGGATCACTTTAACCAGTTTGGATTCATGACAATGCATTTAATTAATCCAGGACAAACTGAAAGCACAAAGGTGTCTGTATGTCTGCGTCTCCTAATACTCAAATCTAAACCAAAGATGGAGGGCTCACTGTTCCTTCTGAAATGAAAGTGTCTTGTAAGTATTAGGTATTTTATTCTACTCACTTTAAAGTGTTTCATTAAAACTGAGAAACTGGGACTTTTCCCGACTCTGGACTCTTTCGATGCACATTTTGACAAAATGTGACGAAAGAGAGCCGAGTTTCCTGTTGTTTTAGTTTCATGTTTGTAATTTCAGCTCTCTGGTTAACTTACAGCACCAACTGTACTTGATTAGGTTTAGCAGTAAGTCCCACAACAAACCTGTGGCTTTGCAGTGTCAGAGCAGACACTGTTGCCCAAACACTGAAGGACTCAAAGTCTACTGGACAGAAACATACCGAGGAGATACCTGCTCACTAAAATGTGACAATAAGTGTCAGGGCTCTGGGTCAGTGTTTTGAGTTCTCGTGTTTGGTTTAATGTTGATTGTATTCTTATTCGGATGCATTGTTGACCATTATTACAGGTTTCTGCTTATTCGTGTTTAAGGTTGTTCCTTGGTTGTGTCTCATGTTTTTATAGTTCGAGTTTCATGTGTTATATTCTGTCTGCGTCCTTGTTTAGTGGTTTCTTGTTTCCTGTTTTATTGTGAAGGTCTGTGTCTCATGTGATTCAGCTCTGCTGCTCCCCTGTCTCGTTAGTCCAGTTTCTCCCAGCTGTGTCTCCCTCCTGTTGCTCACTCCCTGGTTACCACCCTGTGTATATTGGCCCTGTGTTTTCCTCAGATCCTGCCTGTGTGCTCCTGTTTCTGTTTCGTGGCAGCAATAAAAGCTGTGGTTTTCAGTCACATTTCGTCTCAGAGTCCTGCATTTGGATCCACATCTCCACCTGCCCGCACACACAGCCCTGACAGTAAGACTTTATTCGTACCATGACATGTTCCAAACATTGGACTGGTGTCAGCACATATCTAACTTTTCAGGTTTTCTGTTTTTCACGCACCTTAGAAGATTAGGTGCTAGGACTCTGATCTTACAAGCACACACCAGATTGTTATGTCGACATCTTCAGGCTTATTTGTTTAATTTTGATTGAACCCTTTCCAGAGAAAATGAAACTGAGATAAAGAACGCTCAGTTCAGCTTTTGGCTTGTCAGATACAGACCTCGCGTCGACTACAGTATCCAAACTCTTTGCTTTTACTGCTCCAGGTACATCATCTTGTCCTACTGGAGATGTCTCGGGTGGCAGTAAAATTAACTATTCATGTAGCACTTTTTTACACAATGTTTAACAGTTTGGATTTTAAAAAGTGCATATTTATATGTGCAGATGCAAACCTTCATCCATTACTACACACTCCTGCACACATACAAGGCCAATGGGCAAAAGATTGAAGAGAAGCTGAACCATGGAAATGAGTTTTGAAGCTGCAGAAAGCTGCTCCAAAGTTTAGACACGACAGCCTCTGGAGCGTGATCACCTCTGGTTTAAAACAAGACAGTGGCTCAGTGCAGAGACCCTGATCAGATCATCAGAGAGGCCAGCTGCAGTCAGAAGGGCTCATTAGCTGTACACAGAGCAGCATGTCAGGCCTCATCAATACGACTTTTAAATGAAGGAAATAAAATGATAGTATTTCAATCAGTACAGAGGCCTTTTCTCTGCATGAACATCGTCTCCATCTTTTATCAGCAGCACTAAATCAAGCACACAGTGTTTTATTCACTGGTGTTTGTTTATTGTGGGACAATACTATGAGTCTGCAACAAAGACCGGACTGACACAACATTTACACCTTATTTGTCGCTGCTGTTGTCTTATGAGTGATAAGCAACAGATAAGGAGCTCATAAAGCAGCAGGCAGGGCATTTATGACTTTTTCCACCACGTTCTTCTTTCACAAGTTACAAATCTAGTTTATCATCATTAGAAACAGCTTGTCTTTCAGCACAATTATGATATAAATGACTGGACATTCAACGACATTTGAAACAAGCAGAACACATCACTGCTTAGCACAGTTTGAGAAATACCGTGGACGCATGTGTGAGGAAATCAAACCTTCTTGACTTGACGATTAAAACAAACCACAACGCCGATTCCACAGACGTTCACATGCTGTGTGAAATGGAAATGAAAAATAAACCCGTTTTATTTACAATGGAAGACATGTCGAATGTTTATGTCCCATTTTAACAAGATCACAGGGTCATTTGGAATTTGCTGGAAGGAAAACATCTTTAAAGGTTGTTACAAGGCCACGTTTACCAGTGCGTAGCGTTCGTTTAACAGCAGTCAGGAAACATCTGTGAACTGATTTGATGAGTCTGATTCAGATCAGCACACAGGCCCTTCTGCTATGAGGCCCAGTTCACATTGTCCTGCTGAAATGCACCAATCAGGAGCATGAAGTGCGATGGCTTCTTTCTACGTGGTGGGACGAATATTCAGCGTCTTTAATGAGTGAAAAACAAGAAACAGGTGCAGAAAGGTTTTGTGGTGTTTTTCTGTGTCGTACTTTCTAAAATATCGCCTTAAAACTCTTTGCACCCGTTATGTGAATTTATAATGTTCACAACCGATGTGGTCATTGGTTGTGAACTTAAACAACCAACGGCGACTCTTCAGTTTTGTCTCCTGACAGAAATAAGGCCCAAAGAGTGGAAAGTGCTTGTAATTCAGAGGGTTTTGACCACTGCACTGTGGCTGATCATTCAGCATGATGTGGCATAACAAAGACTGGACTGAGCCATGTTGGTCATGCACACATCCATGAAGAAAAACGGTTTCATTGTAATTTCTAACCCAGTTTATAATGACTCTCCATCCCTGCTGACTTAAAGCTGCACACATGTGAACATGTTTAACTTTAATGCCACAGTGTGGGCGTGGTTTAACTTTTTAGATACTGACAAACCTGCTTCCTGCAGCACACACACCAGGTGCACAACGGCACAAACAACCTTTAAAGCCGTGTCCCCTCCTGACATGCTACTTGAGTTTTATCCTGTTTGTGCTGTCCACATCCTCGAGCTACTAAAAGTTGCAGGTTATCAGTGAGAACAAAGGTCAAGGGTACGTCAGACATCCAGCATTTGTAATCCTACTTGAAAGAATGACATCATCGTCACTGCTGTTAATAATTACAGTTGTGATAAGTGGGAGAGATGGTATTTATTGGTGGCACGAGCGTCTGAGACCCCAGTTGATTTCCAGGATCTGGAGCAGGAGGAAGAGACGGCGGAAGCTTCGACACAGACTGGGACGCTCTCAGGTATGTAGGACGAGCTGCTCTGCATATACGTACGTGTTGGAAAGTAAAGAGGGAGCTGTGGGGAAGTGAGGACTGCTAACACTCAAACCAAACTTCTCTGGTGTTTCTTCAATCTCACCCTCTGGGACGACGCACGCTCTGACCTGCCTTATGTGCTCTGTCTTGTATTTGGGGGTCTGGACCTTTGCTGTTTTCTGTTAATGTGCTTTGATAAGTGATGTTCAAAGGAAGGACGGGATCCTTTTGCTAACCTGATGTGATTAATGGACCTCAGAGCCACACAGAGAGGAAGCAGCAAAGGCGAGACGATGCGCCCGGCAGCTCAGCAGTACGTGGTGACCAGGCCGCTGTACTCGGAGGAGTCCTTCGCTCAGGACCATGAAAAGATCTACAGGCACCGCAAAACTATGCTGGACCACATCAAGCAATATTTCACGTAAGCCACATGTTTGCTGTGTTTTCTGTTTGGTTCCAAACGACGACTCTGCAAAGGTTTGATGAACTGTGGAGATTCAGCAGCAGCTGCTCTCATTTCCATCAACAAAGGTTCAAGCTTGTTTGGCTCAGTTTGCACAGGTTACGTTTATAGTGATTAAGGTCTGACGAGACACTTTACCTGATACAACAACATTATGTGTTATGTAAGACAAGTACTAAGTTTAATTTTGAGATTCAATTCAAATGTATTTGTATAGCACAGCAACAACAGTCGCCTCAAGGCGCTTCATCTCTATTAGATTAAAGTCAACATTTTGAGATTAAACATGAAATAGTATTTTGAGGGAAACGGTGGGAATGTGGAGACTCGCAGCTCCTCTAACATCTACAAAATGTCTTGTGAAAGAACTTGATCAGCTGTCTTATCGTGTCTTGTGTTACAACATGCATCTTCTTTATTGCACGAGGGTGTAACCACCGCTATCATCGGTCCACTGTCACCTGTTTCGTTTTCTTCCAAGTTTGGGTGTTTTTCCCTTCCGAGCTTATTCCTGCGCCATCACCACACAGTGTTCATGTGCTAACAGAGACGTGCGATTTCACTCTGTCATCCATGAAACAACCACATTTCACCATTTTATCTCAAAATAGATTTTCATCTTTAAACTCGAAATGATCACTAATCTTTTTTCTTAATGTGGCCTTAATCCTGCTGTTTGCTGTGTTTGTCTATCTTTATATTAATGGTGCTTTAATGCTTTGATACTCAGCGTGACGTTAGACCTCACAGGTACACAATATCAATTTTACTGTAGTTTCAAGTCGGAACATTTTTGAAAAATCCAGATTCTTATTATTTTGACCCTACACGCACACGCACAGGCAGCGTTAGTCCAGTTTCATCACCGACACCGGATTGGCCAATCGAGCCTCTTACCGCAGCCGGGCCCTCCCCTCTGTGCGCACACACGAGAGGCGAGAAAGTTGAGCAGAAAAGCAAAGAGAGAAAAACTGAGTAAAGACAGATGCAGCAGAATGTGTGAGATTACCGGACATGTCAGCTGTCGGTGCTGCTGCACCAGCAACACGCAGCCCTCGCAGCCTCTGGTTGACAGCACGAGTTTTAAACAGAGTTACATCCTACATGACGCATCCATGACAGTCTCTCTCTCCCTTTATATAGAAATACATTATGTGTTTATTGGGTGATCACGTCGGGCCAGTCGGACCAAATATGTCACGGTCGATGTTTTTGTCCCAGTCCAGCCGCGACGCAGATCAGCACTCGTCTGACATTAAGGTTGTCACTGAAGTCTGAAACGTTAAAAATGAGATGTAGCGGGTGTTTTGGTGAAACGCTGGCAGGCCTGTGCTTTCTACAGGATAATGTGAGTGGATTTATCTTAAGACAGCGCAGATCTAAATAAAAAGAATCACTTATTAGTATTTCTGTGATATTAACTAATTCAAAAGTCGTAATTGGGCAGGGTGGAGCTCATTGAAGACGTTTCTCCTGCTGTGCAGAATATATTTTTCATATCTTTAAAAAGAACAAACAAACGCAGGACTTAAACTGATCGATGTTTGTACACTTTAATCAGTTTAAATAACCTTGTGAAGCATAAATGTAAAAAGTGGTTACTCTGGTTTTGGTTCATTATCGTTTCAGATGTGACGCGAAACGAGCCAAGAGCACGGCTCTGTCTCTTCTCCCAGTCATCGGCTGGATGAAAGCGTACCGATTGAAAGAATGGCTGCTGGGTGACATCGTGTCCGGTGTCAGCACTGGACTGGTGGCTGTGCTGCAAGGTGAGTATCACAGAAAGTGACAGCCTCTGAACTCTGTGAAGTAATGATAACAATAATGACTGTGCAGCTTGGGCCCTATCTGACTAACTGATAACCTGTGATAACAGACAGCTGTGAGAACCTCTGCGCTCTTATCTGAGCTGTTTAAACGATAGTGAGTGTGCTTAACAGCAGCTTGGAAATGAGGAAATAACCATTTGATCGCTTGATGATTTTGCTCATTTTAATGGAGACACAATATCATCTAAAACATTCAGAAAAAGGAAAACATTAAATTTATAGATCAATTTGCGTGTTGGTGCAGCCCTTTGAAACCTTTAGCAGCTTTCTTTTAATTGGCTGCTCCTCAGCAGCAGGTGAGTGGAGGTGACATCGTAACAGTATAGATGTAAAAAGAAATTAGGAGGACGGGTTCTTTAACCTTTGTGTACTTTACTTACTTATTGAGAGCCCAGAGATTTACTCAGCTGGTGTTTCTGTCTTGCAGGGCTGGCCTACTGTTTGTTGGCCTCTCTGCCACCCTGGTATGGGCTCTTCTCCGCCTTCTTCCCTGTTATCATCTACTTTTTCCTCGGCACCTCCAGACACATCTCAGTGGGTAAGGCCATCGTCCATTTCTATGTAGCTGCTCTCTAAATGTTAGAGTGTAAGTATATCTGCCATCCTCCTGTCTCCCCGAAGGTCCGTTTCCAGTGCTCTGTCTGATGATTGGCTCGGCGGTCACCAGGCTGGTCCCAGACGAGGGGCCGGCGTTCAACATCACGGGGTTTGAAGGCCTGACCAGAGACGAGCAGAGAGTGCTGGTGGCCTCTTCTGTCACCTTCCTTGCCGGCGTCATGCAGGTGAATCTGCTCGCCACAGCCAATAAGTTGCTCTAGTCGACACTGAGTCACCTTGTCAACAAGCATGCTTTCTGAGGATCAAACACAAACCTGTAGGATCTCAAACATACGTTTGTGATGTGGAAACAACAAAAAGCTTTGTGTCCTTGACAGAAAACAGATGTTGTGTTTCGTCCTTCTTAATAAGGCTCCTTGAGAGCTGTTCATCACAACTTCATTTGTGAGCTCTGGCTTTCAAAGGAGCACACTTCGCTCCATCTTTCCATCAAAAAATACTATTGAGCAGCAAATGTAGCATAATAGTGTTAGCATGAAAACACTGACGGACTGAAAAGTAGGTTGACATTTTAAAAGTCATGAGAATATTGACTGTACTCTCACATTTATCCGTTTAAGGCGAAGGTTAGCTGGACGCACCAAGAAGGTTGTTGCCAAAGTGCTTGCTCATAGGGGGTCATATGATTGTTGGGTTTTTCTCTGTATCTATGAAGCGCCTTGAGGCGACTTATGTTGTGATTTGGCACTATATAAATAAAATTGAATTGAATTGAATAGAAGGCTGTGCTCTTTTTTTGGAATAGGTGAAACAAACCTGAAAGCCAGTCAGTGAGCATAATAGGCGCTCATAGATGCTACGTTTGGGTTTGTTAGCTTTGGACTGAGGTGGGATAAGATGAGCTCCATACAAGAGCAGTTATTACCTGCAGCGAGAGTCACAGAGCAATGAGGATATGTGATGATGTCATATTTGACCTAGAATCTCACTCTTACATTTCACGTCCGCCTTTCTTTCAAGTCTTTAGAGAAAGTGATGGCAGGAACAATAAGCAGCCCAGTTACAGTAGTTAGAAAGTAGTTATGTAATGAACTCAAGTAATTTAAAATTTAAAATTTAAAATTTAAAATTTAAAATTTAAAATTTAAAATTTATTTAAAATAATTTCCCCCAGGGATTAATAAAGTATTCTGATTCTGATTCATGTTACTCCTGCGCAACAATTGTGTAATCAAAGACAGGATCTGTCATGCTACACAATATCTGATTTTTCACTGCACTACAAACTACAGTTATAAATGAAAAATACAGCATTATTCTCTTGAAAGCAAACTGCCCAGAGAGTGAGCAGGCAGAGGCTCGCACTCCCTCGCTGTTTCCTGCTGTGTGCTCTGACAGCTGTGCTTTAGGGAAACATGAAGTAGCTGAAATATATATAAGTTATATGTAAAGGATGATGCTTAGTAGATCACTTCATCAATTATGTGATTTACAGAAAACTGGCAGTTGCTTTTATAACTGTTGAGAGGACTGCAGTTGACAATGTAAACATTCATTGGTCCCACGTGGACTCTTATCGGTACTTTAAGGGTATTTTTGTAATACTAATCACACAGAGAGGTACTTTTACTGTGTTTAGCTGTTTATGTTACGGATGTGAACACCAGATCATGACATATATGCTGCTGTCTGCTAATCAAAGCAGCACATTCAGATGAACAGCTGTTGTTAACCTTGATGTAGTCGTACACAGAGGGACGTCACAGGGTTTTCATTCCTAAAAGAAATTCAAAAAACCTTTTTTCTTTTTCTGGTAACTCGCAGTTTAATAATACACTATTTTGTTTATCATGTTGGGTTTTTCAGCCTCAATGACTGAATCTGTTTGTGACTCCTGTCTCTGGCAGCTTGCGATGGGCGTTCTGCAGGTGGGCTTCGTTGTCATGTACCTTTCCGACACACTTGTGTCAGGTTTCACCACAGCTGCTGCGATCCACATTCTGGTGTCGCAGCTCAAGTTTGTGTTGGGGCTGGAAGTTCCAGGGATCAGCGGGCCGCTGTCACTCATATATGTAAGTACAGGCCAGCTTGAAGCTTGCTCTGTTCATCCAACGGGTTGTTCATCTGCTGGTTTCATTCTTCAGACCTTGGAGATCATCTTTAACAAGATCACCTCCACCAATGTGTGTGATGTGGTGATCTCCATCGTGATCATGGTGGTGGTGTTCATCGTAAAGGAGATAAATGAGCGATTTAAATCCAAGCTGCCTGTGCCGATCCCCATAGAGGTCGTCATGGTGAGCAACACTGCACGACTCCTGACATTTTTGCATCTCTTTGAAGGCTTGTTGGTTCCACAAACAACAACACTGATATTTATTACGCTGGTTTTGGCTCTTCACTGTAACAACTGCACTCAGCAGGTGAATAACACTCATTAAAGTGAGTAATGTTCATTTATGAGCCAGAAAAAGATTTCAGCGAGAGATACCGGTCACAGGTTCACACCTGCAGTTAATAAATGCTCTCTGACTTTTGTATTTAAAAGAGTAAATAGCTGTGAATAATCATTTGTCATTTCTTTCACAGACTGTTATTGCATGTGGAGTTTCATATGCATTCGACTTTAAGACAAGATATGGCATTGATGTTGTTGGTTATATACCAAAAGGGTAAGAATACATCAAGCTCACAGTGAAACCTGTCGATTGTTTTATCTTTGCTGGAGAAGAGTCAGAACATCAGCAGCAGGAGTTATCAATGACAAACTTCCCCTGTAATATTATACTGTGGTTTTAATATCCTGACACTGTGCATAACTCACAAGTACATAAGACGTTTATAAGGTGATAATAGCTAAAAGCTAACAGTTTGTTTTGGAGCCTGTAAAAGTGTGAAATCAGAAAGGCAGTCAAAGAGAGGTCAAACCACTTCCACAACATCATAGTTCTAAAATGCAACATGCAAACTTTACACGTGTTATGTCTCGTTCTGCTTTGGCCAAAGTTAAATATGTTTTTGATTTGAGGACCCAAACACAGACTCGTGGAGGCGAGACAGAAACTCAACACGCAGCTTTATCGCTGAACATCAGAAAATACAAAAATAACTAAACTTGTAATGGAACTAAACAGGCTTAAATACACAGCACAACGTCCAGAGAAGAGAAAACACACAGTGAACACAGCCGAGACAAGTCAGACATGAACACGAGAGAGAGACACAGAGAACAAAGACACAAGGGGAACCGAACAGTCCGAGAACTAAACAAGAACACTCAGAATAACTACGACCATGAATGACCCTGAACATCAGCCATAATACAAAATATTACTAGAATACAAGAAGGTCAAAATGCTGGGTCACAGTGACCCAGAACCATCAGCCTGTATTTTGAAACAGTAACATAATGTTACGCTTTAGCTAAGGGTCCAACATGTTAAGGTAACGTCTGAGTTCTGGCTCTGAATTGTTCCTCTTATCACTTGTGGCTGATCCACCTGAGCGTGTCCATGTTTAGAGGCACAATGATCTGACAGACTTGTACCGTTTCAGGTACGAGGCGCCAGTCGCCCCAAACCCGCAGATCTTCCAAGAAACAGCAGTGGAAGCGTTTCCTATAGCCATCGTGGGTTTTGCTGTGGCCTTCTCTGTGGCCAAGGTTTATTCTATCAAACATGATTACACCATAGATGGAAACCAGGTGGGTAACAACTCAGCCACATGTAGGTTAAAGTCGCGTCAGGACGTCAGTGTGATTTCTTATCTCTGTGACCCGGCTACAGGAGCTGATAGCCTTTGGAGTCAGCAACATCTTTGGAGCTTCCTTCAGGTCTTTTGCAGCGAGTACAGCTCTTTCTAGGAGTGCAGTTCAGGAGAGCACAGGAGGGAAAACTCAGGTAACCTAAGCTGATCCCGGATCTGTCCATGTCAGGCAGGGTTTTCTGTATTATTGTAGGGTCAACCTTACAGTATAAAGCACCGTGAGGTGACTGTTGTGATTTGGTGCTGTATAAATAAAGCTGTATTGAATAATATTGAAACTGAAGTCCAATTTTGTAACACAAACGTTTGAAGTATCTTTACAATGAAAATCTTTATAATGAAATCTTTGCTTTTTCACTACAATTCATTTGTTGAATCCCTGGAAAACATTTAAATATGACCAACTGCATGAGATCAGGTCACAGAATCTGTCATTCTCTTCTGTTTATACACGTTCATAGAGACTCTGTGATTAACTGCAAATGAATTGACAGCAGTTCCTGTGACACTGCGGCTCGTCGCTCTGACATACAGTCGCACAAATGCATTAAATTCACAGCGAGTGACCAATAGAAAGGCCAGCCAACAGTGACCTCTAGTGTTTAGAGGAGAAAGTGTATCAATCAACTGATCTGATAAAGTCCTTTTTAAATCAGCACAAACAGAATCTGATTTCCATCATGTTGGTTTTTCAATCCTCTGCCTCTTCTGTCGTTTCCAGGTAGCTGGTTTACTGTCAGCTGTCATAGTGATGATCGTCACATTGGCTATTGGATTCCTACTGGAGCCCCTACCAAAGGTATGTACCCCTCCCTGTGCCTCTGACATGCTGTCTATCCTCTGAAAGCTGATCTCTGGCCCTCTGCTTTAACAGTCCGTGCTGGGCGCCGTGATCATCGTCAACCTGAAGGGCAGTCTGATGCAGTTCAGAGAGATCCCATATCTGTGGAGGAGGGACAAAGCCGACTGTGTAAGACCTCACAAACTTTCAGTACTCTTAAAGACCATGTTTATATGTTGTAAGAAAGGACACGTGGCCTCCTTGTTAGTAAACAACATGTTTCTTACCACAACAAGGTGGTGTGGCTGGCTAGCTGCATCGGTGCCTTCTTGCTGGGGCTGGATCTGGGACTGGCTGTCGGCCTCGGTGTGGAGCTGATCAGTGTCATCCTCAGGACTCAGTTGTGAGTATTTGGTGTACAATGTGATCATGTAACTGATTACTGTTGTGCTTTCATCACGCTATTGTCACGAGGTTCAAAGTGATGGCTTTTATTCTGTCAGCTGTTAGATAAATGACCCCGACAGCGAGTACAAACACGTGACGCTGATTCTTGTAAATGATACAGTAGTTTACATCAAACCTGTCATCGTTGTATCATCATCATTGTGAGCGTGTTAGCATGTCATGTTTGCTTGTTTGCTTCAGTCCTCGCTGCAGTCTGCTGGCCAACATCAGGGGCACCGATATCTACAAAGACCGAAAGGACTACATCAGCGTGAGTTAGCGTGTGGCCCCTCAGGTGGCTTCAGTTTACCTTTCAAATATTTACACAGCTGTCGGGATATTATCTCAGCCATTTGGATTAGTTCTACAGGCCACAACAAAATGTATGGTTTTGTAATTATACAAATTAAAATAATGATCAAACTAGAGGTGAAAACCTGTGACCAGGTCTTTTAAGTAGGCTATTAAAGAATAAAATACAGAGGGTCATGATTTTATGATGAACACAGTGAGTCCTTCCTTACTCTGAATGAATGTTTATGTAAAGGAAAAATGCACATCTGTAATGTGCAAAGGCTTTTATTAGAGGCTATGATGCACGTAGAGCAATCAGCTCACTTACAAAATGTACATACTCAGCAAGTTTCATGTGATTTCAAGATCTATAAGAGTCAGAGAAAGCAGTGGCGATTAAAGGTGCTGAGAGAGACTTTACCCTCATTTACACTGTATCTGTGAATGAGTGTTGTTTTTAAATATAACGTAAAGGATACGTAATAACTAAGCACTCGACTGTCTTGAAAATGACCAATACAAAAGCAGCGGTATTACTAATTACCACTAAAAAACAACAAACTTTTCACAGGAAGTGCTTATGCCTTATTATCTCATAGCCAGCCTGCTAGGAGACATTGCAGTTACATTCCCTCAGAGTGTGTCACGGCCAGGCAGGCCGGCGTGTTTGCGGTGTGGAGCCAAAAGCAGGCACGGGAGAGAGAACGAGCTGTAACAAAAGGCAAGGCTTTTATTGAGGCTGATAGCCAAAACAGAAAACAAGGCAAACCAAAACTAAACTCAATGAAACACCTGACCTGACGAGATAAACAGACGACCCGACAATGAACACAGAGAGACAGAGGACTTAAATACACAGAAGGGTAATGAGGGAAGTAGAAACACCTGGAAACACAGCTGAACGACACAGGAAGACTAAACTAAACACACTGAACATGGAACACAAGACTAAATAAAACAGGAACAAGGAAAGGACGTACACCTGACAGCACGGAGCACCAGGAGAACCTACATAGACAGTAATGACCCATAAAGGAAACACAAACCTGACTAAAAACTCGACCAAGAGAAACTAATAATCATACTAGAACTTAACACATCTCACAAGTAATACAAAATAAGTCAACTACACCCTTAACTTTAAAATAACACATGAGTTTAACATGAGTTTCACATAGGAAAGCAACCTCACCAAATAAACTCAAAAATGCTGGGACCCACCCGACCGAGTGCAGAGCGCCCCGATCGAAAAATCCATGGAGTCCCCCTTCGTCTGCTCTTGCTCTTGAGTATTTCCAAGTTTGGATATTTATGTCCTCCAATAATGCAGAAGCAAGGTCTTTTTGTGGATGCTTTGATACTAAATGTACCTGACAGTTTACCAGCTGATTTTCAAATTGAGATTTGAACAACTAGTCATTGATTTTGATTTTGCAGTACTTTAAAACTCTTTGCAGATATACGAGCCAGAAGGAGTGAAGATCTTCAGGATCCCATCTCCAATCTTCTTTGCCAACATTGAGTTCTTCAGGAACAAGCTGGTGGAAGCTGTAAGTCACATCTGCCTTTAATGGAGCTGTTAAAGAATAAAAGCATCAGTTTGGATAATTTCGTTTTTAAAAAGCATCATATTCTTCACAGGACAATAAAATAGATGGAGTACAATCTCATCTCTGATACCATCTCCTATGATTACTTGTGATAAATGACACACTTACTGTATGTCTTTCCAGGTCGGCTTTAACCCATTACAGGTGTTGAGAAAGAGAAATAAAGCAGTGAGGATGATACGGAAACTTCTGAAGAAGGGCAAGTTGCAGTGGACATCTGTGAGTATCTGAGCTTGGTTTGATAGTAACGGCACAAATGTTGCCTGTGTCGACACACTAACAAGGCAACGAAGCCTCATTTACTCATTTTGAATATTAACATTTGCTTCTTGCTCATCTCTTTCAACTCAATTTAGGTAAACACTGTAAATCTGCATGTTTAGAAATGTACAGAAAACAGCAGCTCTCATTTCTAGAAATATAGACACATTTATTAAACCCCCCAAAATATGACTATCCAGAGTTGGGACCAGGAAGCAGAGATGCAGTCTTTTTTTTGACACTTTTTATTTGTTTAGGAACAACAACTTTTATGCAACAAGATAAAAGAAAAAAGAAAAAACAGAAACAGTATGAGGTCATGGGAAGATAACATACACCTGTACATACATCTGCACATCCACACATACATACGTCAACAAGTCTGCATTGCTAATTCTATGCATCAAAGGGTGCTGCCACAAGCTGTAAAGTCCAGCCATTTTCTCCACCGTCTCCTT